CAAGTCCAGCAAGTTATTGGGCAGAAGCCAAACTGTAAGAAGGATGTAAGACCACACTCTAAGGCAGAATTCATGCTGTCCAGCAGCATATCAAGATAAAACAATCTGAGCTACAATTTTATCTTTATTTTCTTTATTGTGCATCTACTTCTCAGCACTCAGTTCTGTTTCCTCTAGGCTGGCATAAAACACACCTGTGTTACAGATGAAGCTCCATAACATCTGCAATATACATTTTAAATCACATTTTATCATTTGATCTAACTGAAATCAGAACACTGAACTGGCAGAAGTGAACATCTGCACATCTGGAACTAAATATTTTAGGCAAGGAAAACATCTTTGGATACAAATCAAATCCACTAAAGCAAAGATGATCTTCTATTAGCTTGGCCTTTGCTAGTGACTTAACAAACCCAAGTGAAAACAGCAGACTGTATTTTTCCCTTTGTGAATATATGCAAGTCATGGGAGGAAAAGATCTAACAGATAGTTCAAGAACTCTAGGTACACATATCACTACATTTTCATTAACTACCATCCAGGATGGTTATGATAGTTTTGAACTTTAAAGTGCTATTATCTGTGTATTTTAAGGCTGTTCCAGGGCAGGCTCAGATAACTGCAGGAAGGGGGTAGTGCTTATGATTTAAGGAGTGAAAGCATCATAAGTGCATCTGGATTCATACATGTCTAACTACAGAAATGCTGAGTGTTTTTAGTCCATGAAATGCAGTAACATGCTATACAAATGTAGGGGCAGCACCAATTTTTCTTTAAATATTCATCAACCAAAGCCAAGCTTTCCTCCCTGTTAAGGTAAATCCAGCAGCCCTGCTATGGAGCAGTCTTCCAGCCATTCTTCCTCCTCCTGCCATCTGAACAGCACAGGTTTAGGCTATTTCTCTATTTTTCTTTCCCTCCCTACTGCGACATCAACTTCAATTGCTCTTCCACACCAATTTATCACTCCTCAATTGTTTCCTGAAGGTTATTAATATTAGACTCTCTGTGCCACAGACTGCATTAGAGTGCCAATTGCAGATGTCTGTGGTGCATATCTATGATTATCTCCCATTAGGACTCTTAAGAACAAAGTTGTTCATATTTTCAGTACCGACTGAATGAGTTTTCACCTTATTTGTGCTTTCACTTCACCCAGAAAATTACCCATTTTATTATCCCATTTAAAGAAATAATATACAGCAGTGTTACTACCATTACCTCAAAGAAGCAGTGGCACCTAGACCTTTGTTATGAATTACATGTTTCCTCTGTGTTTCAAAGATGCTCAAGAGGCTGCATGCTACAGAAAATAGTCTGAAAATGGGTATTTTATGAGAAACTTCAGGCCTACAATATTCAGTGAGAGAATGATGAGCTTTTTTCTCCTTACTAAAATGAGCCACAGTTTCCCCTTAAAACCATATGCTTTCAGCTGGCTGTGTAACCTCCAGACACAGGCACTGCAGCTGCTGAACTATCTCAGAAGTTCTCTGCACCAACACCTACAGTAAGCAGCAATTTAAGCAGGTTAAGAGAATTATTAGCTCCAGAATAATTAGAGAATCATTTAGGTTGGAAAAGTCCTTTTAGACCACTGATTCCAACTGTTCACAGGTGACATTCTGCTTGCTGATAATTAAGCTGCATTCCCTGCTGACACAGTAGTTGCACAACCTAAAATAAGGTGGGAAGTTCTTGAAACTCAGGGTCTTTGAATGAACACAATTAGGTTTACATCACAGCACTTGGTAGTCCAAGGCATAAGAGCCCAGACTTCACTGAAATAGGTTAAATTGCTACCTCTAACAAAAAGTCGTATGAGAAATATGAAGAAAAAATTATTTTAGTAGAAATAAATTCAGGTTTGCTAGAACTGAATCACTGCATTTGTCCTACGCTAAGAAGAATTAGTTCTTCTTTCATTACACCATTTGATTTGCTGATATAAGTAAATTAACTTAATCATTCTATACAACATTATTGATAAGTTCCTTCATAATGCTTAGAGTTAATGCTTATTTACTCTCCCACTGTGACAAATTAGACCACCTACTCAGACGCTGTATTTATTTCTGATGGAACACACATGGAGTGCTAAAAGCCTGCAATAATACAACTCCAATATTCAGTTGCCTTTCCAGGCAATAATCTTGATAGCTAAATAGTTTAGTTCCCCCTCATAAAACCAGAAGAAATATAGCAGTGATACAGCGAATCCTAAATGCTCAGCTGAGGGAAAAAAATAAAGGAGAATCTAAAATGGAATTTTTCTGAAGTATAACAGTACCAGTGATCAGCACCATGAACTCATAGTGTACACTGTGTATTCCAAACACTCTTTATGTGCTGCATTTTAGCAAAGGTATTTGGAAAAAAGTTAAAAATAAAGACCGCATTGCTAAAAAGCTAACCCTGGCCTTCAAGTTCAAAGAGCTTTTCATCCAGCAGAAGACACTCATAATGTGTGGCATGAGACCACAAACGTGTCTAGAGAAAAAGCCAAGTCAGAAGCTGTTTTTGTACACGTTACTCAGAAATGTTTCCAGTGCCCTAAAAAGCTTATTTTTTCTATTCAGTAAGTGGTTTAAAAATAGTTATAATTGAATTTTTCCACATATATTATCCTCTATTCTTCAATTCCACTGCACTGAAGTCGCTCCAATCCCTGACATCCCATTGAAGTGATCTGCACGCAAAATTTGATAGGAATCTTGTCCATCATCAGATTCATGTATTTATACACAGGTTACTTTATTTACAGACACAGCAGCCTTAGAGCTTAATGACACAAATAAGTAATTAATAAACACACATGTATATCTTCATCTGATTCAGTTCTTGTGCTATGACAAGCAAGCATGGATTGTATCAAAAGCACTGCTAAAATTGCTAAAACAATTTTAGGCCAGTATTTCAACTGCTGCATATCAGAGCTCTGTCCAACATCAAACGAGTTGAACAAATCAACACACCTGAAAATTCAGGTCTATCTCAGCCTTTAATAACATATTACAACAAAAAGATCTTCAGGAGATAAAGCATTGCCTGTGGAAAAAGATAAAAAATGGAAATGCTCAGGAAAGGGGAAAAAAAAACACTGCCACACAGAAGAAACTAATCACATGCATATGGCTTGCTTTGATTTCACAACAAAGATTTTACTAACACTGCTCAGCATGAAAAACACCACCAATCCCGTACAAATTCATCTGAGTTTTTTTGAATGGACAGGACTTCAGATTCTGCCTGACAACAGTTGCTCAATTATGTGTTACTTTTATTACACATAAGACTTGGCAGCAGCAGAGAACGTATGTCTGGGACAATCCTCGAAAAATTACTAGCACTTCAAGATACACAGGCCAAGTTACAATATGGAGAGATCCTTAAAATACTTCATTTTGCATGTAATTATTCACTGATAACAGAGGGAGCAGAGTGAAGTTTCAGATTCAGTAACAGATTAGAAGTAATTGTTTCTTCTGTACAAATTGTAAAACTGAGATGTTGAACATCTCAGTTGATGTCCTGCTGCCAAAAGGATGTTTCAACAACAATTGTGTTACCAGGAAAGTCTTACATCACTATTGCACCTCTACACTGGAAGTATCATACGAAAACAAACATACAGCTTCCAAAACAACCTTAGCATACATCCATTCCTCAAGCAGACAGAAATATAAATGCTGGCATAAAGGCCCCTTTTTTTTTTTCACCATTTAATATTCACCACTCCAGTGTCAACCAAGTTCATTAAAAAAAAGCCAACTTCTGTCCTGTGTTTGACTGTGAGCACCAAGCTATATCAAATGCACTGAAAACAAGCAAGGAAAAGAATCAACACACATTAAGTCAAGAGCAAAACTCAGTGTCAAAATCTGTTCCGATTTCAGAAACTGTTAGACAAAACAACATTTACGTTTTATTCTGAAATCCTACATTGCGATTACCATACCAGTGATGAGCATTTTGAAACATCGAGAATCATATCACAGCCAAACCACAAAAGATAATGACACAGACACATACTCCCACTCTTATAGAGCCTTCTGCTTCCAACAGCTTCACTAAGCTCGGTCAAAAAATAGCAACGGCAAAACAAGGAAAACAGAGTTCCAAAATAAGTGAAACAATAAATCTTAATATGCAATAGCCATGCATTCACCTTCCCAAAGGCAGCTTAGTCAAAGCTCCTTTCAGAGCAGTTTTGTAGCATCTCTGGGAACACGGACACCTCTGCAGGGAGGGTGCTGCTACCCCCGCACAGGAAGGGTTAGCGAGCTCCAGAACTCGAGTGCACGGAGAGGGAACAGCCGGAGCACTACAGCTCTCACATATTAATATAACCACAGGGGAGCTGCAAGCCGACAGCCACAGCTCCATGCCGCATTTAAGGGAGAAGGGAATGAGAGAAGAAACGGAGAGAGAAAAAGTTTCCTCGTCTTTCCTTCAAGCAAATGTAAATCTGTTCATTAGTTCCTCAAGCTTTCAGGAACAGTTACATAAAAATATGTAAAATCGGTAATGCTTAGAATAGGATTCCTTCCACTTCAAAAAAGGCTGTGCCGGATAAACCCTGAGCCACAGGAGAGATTGACGGGAGAGGCCAGCTCTCCCTCCTGGAGCACGGAGACTCCGGCAGCCGAGACACGGGCTGGATCCGCGCCTGCCGGGGCTGCGTTCCTCTGCCGTACACCAGCCCTGCACACACGGGCTGCGGGGCTCCGGCATCGCTGATGCACACAGCCGGCAGCTGCGGGAGGCTGATGGGCTTTTACGTGCCGTGAAATGGTGGATCTGACTATCAGGCATATTTTATGATAGGGAGAGAGCGTGAGCCTCTGCAAAGCAAAGCCGGGCAGGGATAGCAGCAGGCAGGCGGGGAGCAGGACCAGCAGCGGCAGGGCCTGGAGGACTGTCAAGCCCAGCCGCCTGCCCCCGCCTGTGCCGGGCGGCCCCAGCCCGGGCCCCCCCTCCGACAGAGCGGTACTTACGTGAAAACAAAAAATAAAGTAGTCGAACCCACTAATAAGGCAGCTGCTGTGGAGACCGGGATGTATTTCGTAGGTTTAAACCTCTTTCCAGTGCTGCTGGGCATCCTGTAGTTTACACATCACTATGTAAATCCAACCCGAGAGGAGGGAGCCGGGAGGATGCGGGTCCCTCCGGCGCAGGGAGAGCGGGACCCGGGCGGCTGGGAGGGACGGCAGAGGGACGGGAGCAGCTGACCTCCAGCACAGGAAATCCCACCCACACCGCCCAGCCCACTCGGCTGATGTCAACCAGCCCCTTAAGGTAGCGCTGCGGGGAGACGCGAGCGGGGCGCGCAGCCCCGCGGAAGGGCGGCCGGGCCGCGGCTGCTCGGGCCGCCCGCAGCGGGGCAGCCCCTGCGGATGGGCGGGGGGCTAATTATAGTCTTTCTACAAGACAACCCTCCGCCACCCCCGAAAAGAAAAATAGCAATGCAGTGAGCTCCACAGGGCGCTGTGTGGGACGCCGAAGCTCCAGCAGCAGCTCCCTGAGCAGCGGGGCTCCAGCGGGGGCTGCGGACGCGGCACCGCCGCAGCATCCGCGGAGCGCTGCGGGCTCCGCGCGGGGAGCGGCTCCGAGCGGGCCCTGCAGGACACGGCCAGCTGCAGGCCAATCCTGCCGTGCTCGATCGGGGAATAAACCCTGCTTTCCATTCTGCTACACCCAGAGTCACAGCATTAAGGAACTGCTGCACTCTGCCAAATGTAGCTGATTCCAAGATCCATAACTGAGTGCAAACGTAACTGAAATTACACTCTACTCTGTTCTTTTAAAATCTATGCATTAGCATCAGGAGGCAGACAGAAGAGGTAATTTAAGGTAACAACAGAAAGTTCACCGAATCAGCTTCCCCAAGAGCAGTGTGAGAATGGCTCCTCTGTTCACACTCGAGGGCACCACCCAGCAGCTCTGCTGTCTCAAGGAAACCCTCTGATGGGAAGAAAGGTTCAAGGCCACTTGGAAGTCTAGAAATCAAGACCAGGAGCTGCATACATCCTGCTCCCTCCCTCCTGCTTTCTTTCTCAGCTAATCCCTTTTCTGCAGCTGCCAACATGCAGATAAAGTAACCCCTGCCTAACACAAAAGGCACATTTGCAGCATCTGCTGGGTGTTGTTAAAAGCAAGCTTGCCCTAGAAGGCACACACTGCAGTGCTGTTCAGAAAGGACATTTATAATTTCTCATTTTAAGAGACTTGATTAGTTCCACAGTCCTAGAAGTCTTAAGAAGAGAACAAGTGAAGCCTGACCAAAAATCTGTAAGGGTCCTCAACTTTGCAGTTTGCAAAAAAATACCCCTACAACTACAAACCAAACAAAACCCAAAATTTTCAGCATCAGCTTTAACGAAAACAAAGCCAGCAAGTTCCAGCTTGAGGATATATGGCTATGTGAAATCTCAGCTTTTGCTAACAGCTGCCCTGCTTCAACAACAAAAAGTCTAATTTAAAATGGACTAAAGCCACAAGGCAACTTAAAATAATCTCCAGACTTTGATTTTTAAAGAACAGGAAAGAAAACATCTACCTAAAGTTAGTTATTTTTGCATGCTTGGGGGACTGGATGTTTCCTATGCTTCACTACTCTTTGTCATGCCAGCTTATTGGAATTAATTATTCTCAAACCCCTTGTAACTAATCAAAAGGTCAACAATTTTATGCAGAACCAGGCTCTGTGTAGGAAGCTGAAAGGCTTCAGGTGCAGCTACATGAGCGTGTTAAATCAGATCAAAGGCACACCTGGGAAGCAAATCTCTCACCTCCACTTACCAGGTCTGATGTGCATTGCTGAGTGGTCTCCAAGGAACCAACTGGGTCTCTTTTCAACAAAACTGGGCTGGAAGATCCATTTCAGGAGCACACCTAATGCTCTGGGCCACAAGTTAGTTTAGCACCACTTACTTGACAAAAGTAGAGACTTCATAACTTACATCAGTTTAATCACCTTCCTCCTTCCCACTCAAGCAAGTCTGGGTAAAGAATTTAAGTTGCAAACAGAGCTCTGAATAATTTTCTAGTGATATTTTTATTTTAATCTAGAAAATGTTATCATAAGCAGCATTATAGACTGTTTATGAAGTTGGGTGAATGTCCTGTAATGGACAGCATGAGATTTACTCAAATGCATTTCTTAGGTCTTGAAAAATGTAAAGAAGTTCTCTCCCAAGTGACAATCATATCTGAATTTTTAGCATGGACCTGCAAGTTTCCTTTCTAGGTGAGCCACAAAAGCATCCTGTCAAGTTTCTAGCATGAGCTGGGAAGCAATAGGCACAAGTTCATTTTAAAATACATATCTGGATTTTGATGATTTATTTAAATTTCATTCTTTTTAAAGACAAAGCCTTTCTGGGACAGTAACATTCCCTCATGTGAATTGTGGAGTTATTCTTAAGGAGACTATGCCTCCTCTGCACCTCATTATTTTCAATTGTATTTTCCCCTAAGGACTCTTTCCTCTCTAGAAAGTCTGCTTCTCAAAGACAGCTTTGCAAGTGGGGAGGATTCAGGACTTCTGCTCATTGCACTCTTCAGAATGGTTTTCCCTTCATCACTCTGACACTGATACTGATCCAATCTTGCTGTATCAGCCCCCATTTGTGGGGCCAATCTTTCAAGCCATTCCTGTTCTGAAAGGAGGCTCTCAGCAGCAAGCAACTTTGGCTTTTTTAATATCCCAATCACACAACACTTCTCCAGAGGGCAACTAAAGATAACTGTGAGTTATCAGGACAGAAAGAATTGTACCTTTTGTAGCAACAAGAAGAGGTGCATCTCCAAACTGAAGAGATCTTGAAGATCACAGTGCCAGCTGGGTTGGGGCTGCACAATCATCCTGTGGGTCACAACACCTGTGCAGTGCAGTCATGCAGACGCAGCATTTCCAGAAGAGAGCTGAGACATTCCATGTTACAAGGCTACAGTGTTATGCTGAATTGGGCTTTGGGATTACTTTTTTCTGGTGCACATGGTAGATTACCTATCACAAAGCAGTAATTTTCTGTAATTTTGTGTCCAAGAGTTCCCACAGCTCACCTCATTTCCTTCCCACTGGCACTCCAGTTCTCAAGAACGCTCTGTTTTCAAGCCAGCACAAAGCACTGCTGAGCAACACTCAATCTTGTTATTACAAGCCAAGTATATTTAAAGCAGTCAGATGACTTTACCTGTCAAACACTAAGGATGTCTGAGGAGGACTTGACTAAAGCAGAACAGGCATGTCTCAGAATTGCTCTCCTGGAACACCTTTATTTCAAGGACTGCACTTTCTGGACTCACACTACCTTATTAGTGTGCCAGAAGATTTTGGCAGCACTGAGGTAAACAGCAATGGCAGCATGAGTTAGGGAAAGATTTAATGACAAAGAACAAACACAGCTACAAAGAACAATCTAAAAATAATCTGGCAGAGCATGGCTAGTAATTGCATGTCTTCTTGCAAGATTTTACTCTGAGGTTTTACCCCAAAGGAGGAATGGCCAACCACAGAAGCCGTGTTGGAGCCACATGGCAGGGTACCCCTCTCAGAGATGGTAAGATGAAAGGAAACTTACAACAGAGCAAGAATCAAGAAAGCCTGAAAGCCATGCAATTTTCATATCAAGTCACTCATTTTAGCTGGAAATCTTAGCTACATGATTAAGAAAATTATTTTATTTTGCACACTTGAAAGTACTGAATATCCCTGGAATATTTTATTGGTCACTTGCAAGTTAGCTCCTAGCACAAATTTGCTGTTGCCATTTAACAGTGGCCACGATAAATAATTTTTTCTTACTACAACTACAAATGTTGTTGCCAGAGTCATTGGGAGAACCTTCAAGAATCACAAATTCATTGTTTAATAAAAGCGAGTTTTCCCCTCAAATTTACAGCGCTCAGAACAGAGAAACCTGCATTATCTTGTGCTGCACAGTGCTGCCAAAAGTCCAAGCAAAGGCCAGACAGTTCTGGGTACAAGCCAGGCCTAGTAAGTCACCCACTGGAACTTTAACATAACAATTTTCATTTAATTGTTCATTTCTTACCAGATAAATCAAGAAAATATTGCCTAATACTGACCTCTCAGTAGCCTTAACAGATTTATGACAAGATTTTCTAGGTGATTCCAATAGATATTTTTTGTGGGATGGCATTTGCTCAGATCTGGTGTATTTTCCAACAGCAGTGATGTGGAGTGTCAAGTTGCATTTACTATGAGACTTTAGTAACTCTGCATATTGATTCCTAAATGATCCCCACAAAAAACTACTTACATGAGAATGAGGTAGGCCTCCAAGCAGTTTTAAAGATTCACTAACCATCCTGTTTAAAACCATTAGTAAAGTGCAATTCTCCTCCTCTAAATGAAATATCACTGAAAATGATGCTGCTGAAACTCTGCAAGCCAACAGTGTTCATAAACCAGCAAACAAGGTGTTACAACTGATAAGCTCTATTTATGTGAAGCAATGTAACTTTAATTATACCTGTTAGAACAGTCTTGAGAAATATCCTCCAAGCATACAAAATATTCAGCCATTTTAATGTCCAATCCATCTTTGTTGATGTTTACAATAGCCATAATTGCTTTTATGGAAAAATATAATTAGAAAATTATGAAATTTAAACTACTTGAAATGAGGCCAGCCAGCACAACATGAATAGCCAAGAGCTCATGACACTGTTAGCTTCTCTCTGGGTTGTAAATAAATTACACATCATGATAACAACAGTTCATATCTACAAGACAGTGAATCAGCTCATGTAAACTTGTAGAGTCAAGACTGAAACAATGAGCTGGACTTTCCCAGTTTGAAAGTTGGAAACATATTTAAGACTGTAAAGTTGATGAAATACTTGTGGTAGTCAGACATATTCCACAAAATAAAATAAATTTGCTGTATGCAACATCTAATCCAGATTTGTGCTAGCACCTTCTTTGTACTTAAAACATTATATTGCTGTAACAGACACCCCACAAACATTACCTGCACCATTGATGCCTAAAAAAAAAGTGCATTTCTACAAATAAATTCCATTAATTGTTATGGAATTTATTCCTATCTGATGTAGGCTGCATTTTCACTAGACTACAGCAAACTAATTTGACAAGTCTTACAAACATGAACTGGTCTTAAAGTCAGTGGTTGGTGTCTAATGTGACTTAAGTGGACAACGATATTCCATACCTAAATTTGCACATTATA